ATAGAGCTGGAGAATACAATGCTAAGTGAAGTTGACCAATCCCCCCCAAAAAAAAATGCTGAATGATTTCTCTGATGCTGATTCATAATATGCTGCATGGTGGTGGAGATGGGAGATTAAATGAACTCTAAATAGTGCAAAGGGGATGAGGGGAGGAAGGGGAAGGGAGGGGGCATAGAGGTAGGAAAGATGGTGGAATGTGATGGTCATCATTACCCTAAGTACAAGTATGAAGACACGAAGGGTATGACTCTATTTTGTGTACAACCAGAGATGTGAAAAATTGTGCTCTATATGTGTAATAAGAATTGTAATGCATTCTGTTGTTATATATAACAAATTAAAATTTAAAAAAACAAGGAAGCTCAGGAAATTACAAGATTATAAGTACAATAAAAAACAAACTTGATACATTCTAAAATAATTAAAAAACAAAATCTTGAAAAAAAGAATCAAGAGAAAACCAACAAATTTCATTTAAGTGAAAAACAAAGTGAACTCTTACACACTTATTACCAGAAACAATGGAGTCAGGAAGACAGAAAACTGACACTTTTAAACTGCTTAACAAAACAATTACAATCTAAAACAATTAATCTAAAAGGAAGGGAAGAAAATAAATGAAGGGGCAATACAGAGGAAACAAACAAACAAAAAGTAATAAAATAGTATACTGCAACCAAACATAATGTTATATTTTTAAATGACTTAACATTGCAATGAAAAGCAAGAAATTGTCAGAATGAATTGAAACAAAACAAGATCCAGATCACACAAGATTTAGATATATAGAGATATACAGATATAAAAATATTTAAAGACAACTATAGGTTGAAATTCAAGGGATAGGAAAGTTCTACTGTGTAAAATGTAATCATTAAAAGGAAGGACTAGTTATACTAACATTATGAAAGAAGATTTCAAGTCTACAGAATATAGCAGTTAAATCTTACTTTTTATAATGACAAAGGATTTAATCAAAAAGACATAATCTTCATATGTAGTCTCCTAATATAACAGATTTAAAACAAATGAAAGAAAATTTGAAAAAAAACTAAAGGGAGAAAAATAAATCTACAGTCATATTGGGAGATTTTAATATATTTCTCTTAAAAAAACAATAGAAAAATTGAGGCATAGAATCTGAATTCCAACAGCTGCAATGACATAATTAATGTTTAAGGAACATTCAGCCCTATAGTGCAATGTATAAATTATTTTCAGGTATATATAGTATATTCAACAAAACCATATGCTGAGCCATAAAAGATTCAATAAACTTCATAATATAGCAGTTTTACAGAGTACTATATCTAACCAAAATTAATGTGCATTGGAAGTCTGTAAACATAAGAAGATATAAAAGGAGAGAAAAACACATAAAAATATTCCAAGAGTAAATCAGATGCTTTTAAGTAACCAAAAAGGCAAACAAAAAATCACAAAGGAAACAAGAAATGTTTCTAATTGAATACTTGTTTGTAGAAAATGACAAGATGATACCAAAATCTCTACAAAAAAATGAGAAATATATACAGTATTCCTAAAAAGAGAATAAAGTGATTTACATTACTGTCATTTCAAAAGTTACTATAAAGTTACATATGTGAACAGTTATTACTGTTTGAATCTGCAATGTTCCCAAAAGCTCATATATTGAAAGTTTCAGAGGTGAGGCGCTTAGAAAATGATTAGATTGTGAGGACTGTAACCTCATCAGTAGATTAATAAGTTGAAAAAACTACTGGGTGATAATTGTAGGCAAGTGGGCCATGGCTGGAGGAAGCTGGCAATTGGGGAAGCAGCTTTGGAGACTATATCAGTCCTAGGCTCCTTCCTGTCTTTCTCTCTCTCGGCTTCCTGTTTCCCTGTGCTGAAGAGCTTTCCTCTACCATGCCATTCTGTGATGTTGTTTGTACTTTACAGATAGCCAATCATAAATTAAATCCTCTGAAACAATGAGGCAAAATAAATCTTTCCCCCCTCTAAGTTGTTCTTGTCAAGTTATTTTGGTCATAGTGACGAAAGGCTGACTAACACAGATGGGTATATTTCTTAACTCTATTCTGTTCTATTGATCATTTTGTCTTGAGCATTTCCCAATAAATTTTAGAATAGACTTGTCAATTTCTTTAAAAGAAAACCAGGCTCCACAGAGATTGACTAAGATTTCATGATAGATATATTTAGGGAAATCTGGCCTTCTTATAACTTCTGATTCCTGAATTTAGTGTAGCTGCCCATTTAATGTAATAGCATTTTCTTGACTTTCCCTCTAGTATGTTTTATATGTTTTAAAGTACAAATCCTCTCACCGCTTTGTCAAATCCATCGTTAATTATTACATAGCATTTGAGATCATTATAAATGACATTTTTTTCAATTGCTGATTATTTCCTTTTATATAGAAATACAAGTGACTTATAAGTTGATACATTACAACACTTCCAAATTTACTTAATAGTCCTAGGAGCTTTTTCATAAATTATAAGGATTCTATACAAATAGCATGTTATCTATAAATAGTTTCACTTCATTTTTTCTAATTTCTATGTTTTCATTGGTTTCTTGTTTCATGTATGTACTAGTTAGAATCTTCAGAATAATTCTGAAAAGAATATGTGAGAAAGAACATTCTTGACTTGTTTCTAATCTTAGAGGGAAAGCATTCAGTGTTTACCATTATGAAATAAATGATATCACTATTACATGAATTCTTCCAGGGATATGAAAAAGAGACAGTTCTTTGCAATTCATAATAAAATGCCAACAATACTTTATATCAAATCTAATGGGAAACATTCAAGAAAGGAGAAGTACAGTCCAATAACCCTCATAAACATAGATGCAGATACCTTAATCAAAATATAAGCGAATTTGAATTTAGCAATATATGAAAATGATAAAACATTATGTTAGATTCATTTAAGAAATGGAAAATTGAATGAATAATTCAAAACTAATTGCTGTAATTCACAACATTAATGAAATAACTTTAAAAGGCTTTAGTAGTCTATAAAAGGTTCATAAAAAGCAGTGTATATATTCAATACCTGTTCATAAAAAAGCTTTCATCATTCTAAGAATATATGGTATTTTAGTCTGTTTGTGATGCTATAATAAGATACATTGATAACAACAAAAGACTATAAATAACCTAAGTACTCATCTAGAGAAAGATAAGTAATTGGTAGTCATGAAATAAAATACATTAAAAAGTGAAAATAAATAGCTATAAACAGCAGAGATGAGTCTTAGAAACATGATGATAAGTAAAAATTGTCAAACACAATATGATAATACATATTATAATACCACTTCTACAAGTGATGAAGTTCAATATACCATTTCCTCACAAATTCCTATGTGATAAAACTTTTTTAAAATAATGGAAGTGGTAAATAGTTTAGTGGTTACTCCTAGTAAAACAATCAAGGTACAGCTGAGGCTATAGCTCAGTGGTAGAGTGCTTGCCTGGCACATGTGAGGCCCTGGGTTCAATCCTCAGCACTACATAAAAATAAATAAATAAAATAAAGGCTTAAAAAAAGATATTATTGCTTCATTCTTACTTAAAAAAAAACTTAAAAAAAAAAAAGAATCAAAGTACCAGGGTAAGGAAGGAAATACAAACAGATATCAGTCATTAGTAATGTTCTAGTCTTTGGATGAGTTAGTAGGACAAGAGAATTTATTATAATACACAAGCAAACAATGCAACTAAATTAAATTAAGTAGGTCTACACATATAACATAATAATGTGTCATGATGCAAATTTTATGATCAACCCAATTCAATGCACTAGCTGTTAAAAAAATAAAAACTGTAATACAATACAGTGCAAATTTTAAAACTGCTGTATTAAGGTTAAGTTATTAGCAAGAGAAAATGTGCTAGGTTCAACAATTAGATATTTTTAAAAAATCATTAAATACTCACCCAATTTCCTATTTCTGTTAATTGCATTTTTATTTTTAAATAAATAAATCATAAAATTTAAAGAATTGCTGTAAGTACCTTAAACACACAAATAAATTCACAGAAATAAAGTATTTTTAAAAAGATATTTAACTTGAAAGTTAACCTGGAGATAATATAAAAGAGGTACTAATGAACATTTTCTGTATGTCAAATCCTGTACTTAATATGAACTATATCATTAACCCTCACAAAATTCTATGACATAGATACCACTAATATCAACGCTTTATTTATGAGGAAACTTTGGTTAAAGTGGTAATAAATTTCTTGATTTACCATAGAAAATAATCAGAATGGTCAAATGATTTGTCCAAAATCAAAAGTAAATATACTGGAAGAATAAAGACCAATACATATTGACCACTGTGTACAAGGCATTATGGCAAGTACTTTATGAGATGTGCTGTTAGATACTCTCTATTCAATTATCTCCTTCAGTTATAATGTATTAAAATAGAAATGACCTATTTATTTGCTCTTCAATAATCAAAATAATTCACATAATATCTACATACTTGTCCCTCCATATCCATAATACAATGGTTCCAGGACACCCTTTAAATATCAAAATCTGCAGATTCTTATATTTGCATAAAACCTGTGTACTTTAAATCATCTCTTATTTATAAGACCTAATATAACATAATCCCTATGAAAATATTTATATACAATATTTTAAGGCATAATCATAATAAAAAAGTCTGTTCATGTTTAGTACACTTGAAAATTTTTCAATTGTATTTTATTCTTATTAGTTTAATTCATGGATGTGGAACTTGCAAATACTCGGTGGAGGGTTGACTGCTTGATATAGTCTCTATTTCTATATACATTTCTACAAGAATCTCTAATGTATACAATATTCATGTCCACAAAGACTAAAGACAATAGTAAAACAAAAAAATTCCACTACTAATATCCCACTATATGCAAATTTATTTAAATTTTGTATTAAAGTTGTAAGAGATAATTTAATATAGTATTATACTGGCTAATATTTTTATAATATGTCTCTCACCTGTGCTGAGTGGTCTGAATCATTTTCTTGAAGTGAAGAATATGGTGCTCCTTGTGATTCCTGAAGTTTTTTTTTTAATTTTGCATTTTCTTGTTCTTTTTGAAATAGTTGATCCTGAAGATTAACGACACTTTGACGGAGCATAGATTCATTTGATTTTGTGGTTTCAAAACAAATGTGTAACTCACTGTAGAGCTGTTTAAAAACATTCAGATTATATTAATAATCATAAACTAGATTAATGCCTGTAGATATATGTGCCTTTATATATACATACAAACATATATTGACAACATAAGACATAGTACTTGCTCTCAGGTTATTTTAAGTCTAAAAGAGAAACAAGACTAAAACATAAGGAAAAGTAAATAGTCAAATATCAATATAAAACTGTAATGTTGAAAAGGTCATAAGTATTATTGGTCAGTTTAATAAAGAAAAAATTATAAACTTCTAAAGAATTTGAAAATATTTTAAGCTTGGTATATTACTCTCATAGGATTTCATGAAAAAGAAAAGTCTTGAACTAAGCAATTACAGTTTTATTGGGCTGAACTGTAAACAAAAAAGCCATTCTAAGAATGGTAGAAATGTGAAAAATTATGTGCTAAAAACAATACAAAGGAGCATAAAGTATATCAGCCTAATTGAATATAATATATACATCTGAAAGAAAAAAAGAAATAAAAAAGAATATTTCATTGAGAATTCACTGACTGATGTATTCTCATTTAATATACATTAGTATCTACTTCTAAGGTGAGGCAGAAGGAATAAGAGACATAAAGACCTCTCCACCACACTATGCATTTGCACTCCTATTTAGAAGTTGCCCCTGTCTTTATCTGATATGATTGGATGGGTAACTCTTAGAAACAAGGACAAATTATTTTGCACTGAATATCTATCCTTCCAAGAAGCAGGTGAAAAAGGACAGAGAAAGACACTAACAAATGATTTAGGCCTGCCCACATCTAGGAATTGGAACAAATTCTCATTCCTTAGTCCTTATTCCAAATAAACATCTCCTACTTGCCTGTTTTCTTTGATGGGTGACTGGACTTTACATATTTAATATCAATAAGACTAGTAAGTTGCAGACATAAGAGTACAAGAAGCAAAGACAGTCTTCCAGCATTTTTAATTTTAGGACCCAGTCCAACAGAAACTTAGCCAAAACATCTTCAAACAAGATTTGTCTATTTTTATTTCTGAAGTGTTTTCTGATGACAAGGCCTCAGGATAATAAAATGCTTATTTTTCTAGGAGATATTGCAAGGAGACATAAGTTTAGATATTCCAGTGCCCTGGATACTACATTCTTCTCATTTCATTAATAACAATAGAGTTTAAAAAAAAGTTCTCAAGTAAGTAAATTAGGTAATAGATTTATTCACCTGTTCTGACTCAGGCATTATAAGTAACTTTTTCTCTATTAGCAATCAGAATACATTATAACAGTTTTCAGAGAAACTCTTTTGCCTAAAACTTTCATTTAAATAGACAAAAATGCTAGAATTTTATCACAATTTTTGTAAGATTCTTCCCTATGAAAATATAATCATATGTTCTACTATATATCTTACAGGTATGATTCATTAAAATCTATAATTAACATTTATTATGTTTATTATTCTTTATGCTATTTTCTCTTGACAAAATTAAAGTGAAAAAGAGAATCTCCAGATTATGGAAAACAAGTTAATATCAGATTAGAGCTCCCAAACTCAAAGTCCTTAAATTTTCAGGGGTTTGTACTAAAGTAAACTTGCTCCCATATTTTAATGTGCATTGGGAAAGCAAAATGATATTTTTATTACTTAAATAATTTTGAAAACATATATGCTCTCTCATCCAAGGACACTAACTTATTCAACAAATTTTCTATATTTACTAATTATACTACTTTCAACATTTAGTCAGATAATAAATTCTTCAAGTGAAAAGTATATTTATACAAGAAGATAAAAAGAAAACTATAACCTGAAGTTTAAGCAAAAAGTATGCATGGGTTAACTCCTTTTTTCCTTAAACTGATATTGGATTATTTAATGTAATTACCATTAAAGAGAGAAAAGTTATAAAATACATAGTTAGAACCTGAAACATGTTAGATAGTCTGAAAATCACAAATGCAGATATAATTCATATTAATATTTAAATCACATGTATGTATTTTAATGATGTAAAAGATTAAAGTGTTTACTATTATAAGCTGGAAATGGTGGCACACACCTATAATCCCAGCTATTTAGAAGGCTTAGGCAAGAGGATTTCAAGTTCAAGGCCAGACTTAGTAAAACACTATCTCAAAATAAAACAAATAAAAGACTGAGGGTATAGCTCAGTGGTAGAATTTCCCTGGATTCAATTCCCAGTACCTCCAACAACCAACATTATATAAATATCTACATGCTTAGAGCAAGATAACATAATAGTTTACTTTTAATTATCTTGATCAGTGTTTCTGTTCTTAGAATGGCCCTCCATATATATGGAAGTAGATACAGGTGTGAAACTATAGATTTGTTAAGGAGACATCTGCAAAAATGTGATTTACTTCTTTCCTATTCTCAAAAACCATTTTAGTTTTCTCACCCTTGTTCCCCTATTCATGTTCCTCATCCTACCACTATGAACAACTGTTTCTAAACTCTAGAGATGAATATAATGAATATTATGTTATAAATCTACTTTAAAAGTAAGAGAAACAAGAGGAAATGGAAGTGTGGATGGGAAAAAAACAACATGGCACCATCAGTATGGATGTGCACATGCCACAACTCTGTTATAACACTGTTGCAAGTCTTCACTATAGAAGTAGAATGTCCAATCAGAATGAGTATTACCTTTCAAGTGAGACAGTTGGCAAGAAAAAGAGGAACTAACAAAAGGTATATAAGGCAACGCTTCCTGCATTCAGGGCTTAGCCTATGGATAACAATCCACTGGGCCAGTGGTGGCACTAATAAATGCTGCTTCCTGCTGAATGCCCCAGTGCCCTGTCTCTCTGTATGAGAATCCCATAACAGAAGGGCAAATGATAAAATGAGAAGGGTGAAAAGTTGAGAGAAAAAGAGCAGAGGAAACAGAAATTTCAGTAAAAACCGTAAATTAAGAAAATATAACCATTGGTTCTTTGAAAATATAAACAATATTGATAAACTCTTAATAAAACTAACCAAAGGAAAGAGAGAGAAGATCCAAATAAAGACAATTAGAGATGTACAAGGAAATATCATCACAGATACTTCTGAAATCCAGAGGATCAAAAATAGGAACTATTCAAAATAGAAACTATTTTGAAAATGTTTACTCTAATAAACTGGAAAAATCTAGAAGACATTAACAAATTTCTAGACACATATTTCCTGCCCAAATTGAAACATGAGGATATAAAAATCCAAACTCAAATAATGAAATTAAAACAACAATTAAAGGCTGGGACTGTGATTCAGTGGTAGAGCACCTGCCTTACATGTGTGAGGCACTGGGTTTGATCCACAGCACCACATAAAAACAAACCAATAAATAAATAAATATTGTGTCCATCTACAACTAAAAAAAATATTTTTTAAAAAAACCAGCAATTAACAGCCTTCCAACAAAGTAAAACCCAGTACTAGATGGATTCTCAGCTAAGTTTTACCACACCTTTAAAGAACTAACACCAGTTTTCCTCAAATTATTACAGTAAATTGAAAGGAAAGGAACCCCCCCTTAAGTACATTCCATGAAGACAGTATAACACTGATACCAAAACAACAAAGCAATATCCCTGATGAGTACAGATGCAAAAATCTTTAATAAAATATTAGCAAACCACATTCAAAAACACATCAAGAATACAATACAACATGATCAAGGGGGTTTCATCTCAGGGATACAGGTTGTTTCAACATATTACAATCAATAAGAGTAATAATTCACCACTTAAATAGAATTAAGGGCATGTTTTAGTCAGTTGTGGGTTTTGTTTGTTTGTTTGTTTGTTTTTGTTGCTGTGACCAAAAGACCAAACCAAAACAATTTTAAGAAGGAAAAATGTATCTGATATTCACGGTTTAAACAGTCTCAGTGCAAAAATAGACAACTGTATTCCTTTGAGCCTGAGGTGAGGTAGAACATCATGATAAAAATGTGAGGCAGACAAAATCAGCTGGGAACAGGTACCAGGAAGCAAAGAAACAGCTCTGCTCATTAAGAACAAAATAGTAACCCCAGAGGCATACCACAAGGAATCCACCTCCTTGAGTCACACACTATGTGCTACAGCTATCAACAAATTAATCCCTATCAGGGGATTAATGTACTGATTATGTTAAACCTCTTATAACCCAAACATTTCATCTTTAAACTCTCTTCCATGGTCTCACACATGAGCTTTTGGTAGACACCTAATATCTAAACCGTAAGAGGACAATATCATACAATCAACTCAATAGATGCAGAAAATGTATTTGATGAAATCCAGCACCCATTCATGTTTAAAACACTTGAGGAATTAGGAATAGAAGGAATTTACCTCAACAGTATAAAGTATATATATGAAAAAATTAAAGGCAAACTAGTAATAAATGAAGAAAAAATTAAAGCATTTCCTCTAAAATCAGGAACAAGACAAGGATGTCCATTCTCACCACTCTTATTCAATATAGTGCTTCAAACTCTAGCCAGAGAAATCAAAAAAGAAAATTAAAGAGATACAAATAGGAAAAGAAAAAATCAAATTATCTATTTGCTAATGACATGATCCTATATGGTGAAGACCCAAAAATACTATACCAGAAGACTTCTAGAGCTGATAAATTCAGCAAAGTAGCAAATACAAAATCAACATTCATAAATCAGTAGCTTTCCTATACTCCAAGAGTGACTTTGCTGAGAAAGAAAGCAATAAAATCACTCTATCTATAATAACCATAAAAAATAAAATACTTGGGAATTAATCTAACCAGGGAGATAAAAGAGTTCTACAATGAAAATTAAAGAACACAGAAAAAAGAAGTTAAAGAAGACTTTAGAAGATAGAAAAACATCCCATGTTCTTAGATAGACAGCATTAATATTGCCAAAATGGCCATATTACCACAAGTGGTACAGAGATTCAAGGCAATCTCCATCAAAATACCAATGACGTTCATCACAAAATTAGAAAAAAACAATTCTTAAATTTGGAATAATAGGAGACTCAG